TTCAACAACCCACTAAATGCCCTGATTTATACAACTAAAAATGTCTTTCAGTTCAGTTCACTCGTTCAGTCATGTCCTATTCTCTGCGACCCCATGGACTGCAGCACGCCAGACTTCCCTGTCCATCACCAACTCCCAGACCTTGCTCAAACTCATGTCCGTCAAGCCGGTGATGCCATCCAACCACCTCATCCTGTCATACATTGCCAAATGCCCCTTGGAGAGAAAATGGCACCTCGTTGAGAACTACTGCATAATTTCTAAACTGACATCACAGCCCAAGCATTTAAAAACTTCTTTCTTCCCATACCTGACACTTGTTCTGAATTCATCTCTCTTAAGACTTCATCACTAGAGCTTCCCAGGTGATCAATGGTAAAGAAACCTGCCAAAGCAGGAGACGCAGGTTCAACCCTTGGGTCAGGGAAGACCCCCTGGAGAAGGCAATGGCAACCCACTCCAGTATTCTTGCCTGGGAAATCCCATGGACAGAAGAGCCTGGTGGGCTGCAGTCCATGGGGTCACAAGAGTCGTACACGACAGAGTGACTAAACAACAATGAAGACTGCATCATTAGTCAGCCTACATCCTAGCTCTACTCTGTCATTTTCAACAGTCACACTACCGCCAAAATTTATCCTCTAAACCTTCACAGCTCAGATGAAATGTCTGTAGAAACTGCCCTCATTACCAACATGAAGAATTACTATAAACTCTTTGGATATATACAAAGTCAATTACATCATTTCATTTTTGTGTGTCTGTCTCCCCCACTAAGATATGAACTTTTCCTCAGCAGGGGCCAGATTCATGTCTATATCCCTAGTACCCAGAAGTAGAAAGCATTTAAAGGTTTTGTTTTCTTGGTTTGTTTTTTTTTAATTCAAATGTAATTTAAACAAATTACATACACCACCAAAATATATGAATACTTTTTCTTTAAATACATCATACACACACACACACACACACACACACACACACACAAAACCCAAATCACACAATAAAGCTTTAATCAACATGAATCTTATCCAAACAAATGGGTCCTGTTCCTAATAGGATCTGAAAGGATTCTCTAATTCATAATCCAAAACTTATTGGATATATTGAAGCCTTTGGAACTCTTCAAAACCAGATAGAGATTAAGTTTCCTAATCTTAAAACTCCTTCCAGCCTAGTACGGTTTTTCACGGGCATAAAACAGTATCACATTATTTTGACCACCAAAGCCCCATCCCGCACTAACTCCCTCTGAAATTCATCTGTTAGTCCCCTATGTTTTTATTGGGCACCCCTCAGTACTAGGGGTACAAAGATGAACTAAAACAAGGAAACAAGTTTTAGTTGGGGGTGGTGGGCAGGGAGAATGAACAAAGAAATGGTTAACAGTGGGTTATGAGGCGCTTATCTCAAGTCATCTTAGTTTTTCTTCAACTGTCTTATAGTTTAGTCCACTAGGAATGTTCTCAAAAGATAACTCAGCCACTAACTAATGTCTATCAAAAAGAATGACTTCACAGGAACTATCCTAAAATAAAAATCACACTTGGCAACTGTTTCCTAAAATGGGATAGGATATACAGCGTAATAGTCCACAACTCAACGCAGCAGGCTAACTCAAAGGGATACTTAACACTACCTTCAGCGATTAACTCATCTTGAAATGTTCACCAGGAAGTTCCATCATTTTATATTGAGGATTTTATGGCCACAGTATACAACTCATAAAAACAGCTATAAATAATTTCCGGCTACAATCATTATATTCTCTCTATAATCTATCTTTAGAGCTTGTCTGGCCATTATTTTTTCTACCTTTAGAGCAATCCCAGAACTGTTTTCTGAGAAAAACCTTGGTCCTGCCCACAGGATCCCTTTAGACATATACACTGGCAGTCCATTCAGGCCAAAATGCTGACTTGGTCAGGATCTGACCTCAGATAAGCAGAACATGTGCCCTCAGGACTCCTGACTGAGAGTAAGAATGTAAAACTCTGTGCTGCCTGATGCTTATCAAAACTTGGTTACAACAAATAATATTCATGAAACCAATTATTTAAGGATTCACTTGTTCCATAATTCAATCAAACATTCTCTAGGTGTCAGGAACCATTCTGGGTGCTGAGGAGAAGCAAAGTCCTGGTAGTTTATGCATCCCTCCTTATCTCTGAACCAAGCCAAACCATCAGCAAGCAGTACACCTACACCCAGGTGCTTTGGCTCTCTGCAGAATGTTCACTGATATCACCTAAACCTGGACTGAGCAGCATTATAAGAAGCAATCTTTAAAACAACTCTCTAGTATATTTATCACTGGGGATTTTTCCCCACAAAACCAGTGTCCCCATTATAAAAATCAATGAGAGAAATTTTTCTCTAAAAGTCAAAAAAAAGTGTGCCTCCCTTGAACATGTTTTTGATTTTACAGATTGCATGAATCTGGAAGTTGAGCTTTATTTTCTTCTTAGCTTTGTTCTAGGAAACTGAGAGCTAAATACGGAATCAACCTTTGGGAACTGTGAAGTACTTTCTAGTCTATATACTAACTTCGCTACTGATTTAATTTTATTATTCTTCTCTCATGTCTTCTTTGCCTTAACATCTTTATTTTCAATCCTTTTACTATATATGTTTAGAAAAGAGGTGGTAAATAAAAGGCATTTAATGTGCTTTTTAACCTAAAATTTATTGGATACTTTCTATGTGCCAGGCACTATATTGAACACTTAATGACCCTATCAGAGTTGAACTGTTATTATTTCCATTATACAAAGGAAGAAGCTGGGGTTCAGAGAGGTTTATTAACTTGTACATCATCTCAAAACTTGTATTTGATAGAGCTAGGATTCAAATTCAGCCCAAACCATTACATGTGGGTGTTATCTACAAGCTATCGTAGGAATGAACTAAAAGGAAGGTGAAGGACAGGGTAGAAAGTCCAAATGGAAGATGTGATGTTTGAGGGAAGTCTTCAAAGGGAGGAGCTTGCCAAGGAGTGAGCAGAAAGTATTCCAGAGAGAAAAAGGAATCATGCAAAAACCTAAACATAAGTTCTGGGAATGGCAAACAGAACACAGAGTTATATTCAGCAATAAATTCATTGTGAAGGGTTCACTAGAAAGTTATTTAATATGAGACATTTAGTAGCTCCATTATGGAGAATTTCCAAGGCCACAAAACTTAACTGTGGCTGGGAAAATAGGGAGAAGTGAAATAAAGGCAGTCTCTCTTTTTTTTCACTGAAGTATAGTTGAATTACAATGCTGTGTTACTTTCTGCTGTATAGCACAGTGATTCAGTTAAAATTATATATACATACACTCATATATATATATACACACACTCATTTTTTAAATATTCTTTTTCTTTATGGTTTATCATAATAGAGAACAGTTTCTTTTCATGATGACACTAAAAAGTTTGAATTATGTTCAGTAAACAAGGGGAACCACATAAGGACCTTAAGCTTGAGAATTACAAGATCAACTTGCAAAGTATGTGAATCAATTACAGATTCAAGGTAGGGTACCCAGTCAGGAGGCTACTCTAAAAGTCTGGCAATGGGGTAATAAGAGTTAAACAAGGGCTACTGAAAAGAAAGTAAATGTAAACCATATTTGTGATCTTTAAATTCCCAGTAATGTTAGAAAAAAGAAAAAGAAAAAACTGAAATTAATTTGAGTAACAGTTTATTTAATCCAGTATATCTAAAATACTATTTCATGAAGTAATCAACATAAAAATTAATAATGAAAAATTTGCCATGCTCTTTTTGTACTAATTTGAAATTTGGTGTGTTTTTTAATACTTAAAATATATGCCTCACCTTGGACATTAAGTTTTCATTGGATAAATTTGAACTGTATTCAGATTTCATAATTTATAGATGAAAAAGCAGATTCACATACCCAAGTTGTTCCAGATATAAACATTTTCCAATAATTAAGTATCCATTTTTAAGTTTAAATTAATTACAACTAATAATATTAAAAATTCAGTTCCTCAGTCATGCAAGTGACATTTTGAGTGTTCAACGCCATACACGGCTACCATATTGTCCAGTACAGGCCTAAAGAGTGATAAAGGAACTTTGGCTACTGACACTTTCCACCATCAGCATTTCATTATCTACTTTAAGATTTTCCAGGTATTAACATGGATAACTTAGCAAGTACTATTACAGCGGCCCTACTGGCCACATCCTCACTACTGTCACTTACTTTCTCTAGGCCAATGCCAACATCTGTGAAAAAGGAATCTTCAAATGACTACACAGAATGGCTACAAAGTATCTGATACGTGGAATGTGCTCAGAAAATGGAATGGATGCACAGAATAATGCACTTGCTGCAGACTACTTTTGTATCTATTTTCCTGTGGTTCAGCTGTTTATTACACTCTATGTACAATGAATTTTTTAAAAGTTACCTATTTTCAATTATTTATTTATTAGAGGCATTATACGATAATTGTTAAAAGCTTCAGCTCTGGAGTCAGACTGCCGGGATTCCAATCCTGGTTCTATCATTTATTAGATGTATTATTTTGGGGAAAAGCTCAGCTTCTCTTGTGTCTCAGTTCTCTCCTGGGTAAAACAGTGATTAACTGTACACGCTTCCTTGGGGAGCTTCAAGGATTACAGAAGATAATACAAATAATCACCTGTGCAGCGTATCTGGCACACAGTAGGTGTTCAATAAACCTTAGCTTTTAAAACAGAGCTGGTGAAGAAGTTGAAATTACGGCTAACATAAAAAACTAGGACTTCTCAATCATCCACATCTGTTTGCCATGTAATCTTAGATACAAAAAAACAAAAACAAAAAATAGTGTACAGGTAATACTTTGAGGTCCTCAGAAGAGAGATCCTGCACACAGCTACACCCATTAAGGAAGGAGCTAAATAAAAACTTCACTGACAGAGTATAATTATGCAGTATAGGACAGGTGCACCCAAGCAAATGGAAAATACGAATAAAAATTAAGGCATTTTGCCTTACCTGCTTTTCCGTTTTCGGGGTGGTTTCTCCACTGTGCCAGTCAGTCTACAGACCAAACAGATAAGATGGTAACTAAAAGTAACATACCAGAACACATCTGCGGGCCATACTGTGCCAGTCAAGAACTCAACGGACCGCCCTCGAGAACCCTACACTCGCTAAGCCCATACCTGACCTTACAAAACGCCTTAGGCTCTCTGTTTCCCAGCGACCCCGGGACTCACCGTTCCCCTAATATCTGTTTTGCCCAAACCTTGCTCTGTCTCCTGGTCTCTCACTCCATCCTCATCCTTATTCGTCAAAGCCCACCTCCCCAAAACCACCCACCACCTCCTACTCATTGTCTGCTTCATCAACCCCGCAAGCCCCTCCGCTTCCCCTTCCCGGTGCCCACCCCCTCCCGCCCGTGCAGTGCCCCTCCGAGCCCCGCCCCTCCAGGCCCGGCGCCCCCCGCATTCCACGGCCCCCTCCACCCGGCGCGCGCGTTCCTGCCCCTCCCGGGCCAGCGCCCCGAGTCTCACCCGTCGGCGCCCCTTCCCTCACACACCCCTCTTATCCGGCCGGGAGGGTGCGACCGCCGGCCAGCCCGCTCCGCCGCCCCCTAGGAGACCCCCCGAGTTCCCCGCAGCCTGAACCCTCCGCCCCACCAGTCTCTGCGCCCCCGAATGCCTCACGGCCCCAAGGTGCTGCCCTGGGCCCGCTCCCGCGCCCCCGCCCCATCCCCAAGCCCGACCTCCATCCAGCCCCCGCCCCACCTGGGGGCCAGGCGACTCCGCGGCTGCTGGGGCTGCCGGGCTCCTCTGACCATCCGGCTCCTGCTCCGCCGCGGGAGCTGCTCCGGCGGCCGCAGGGCTCGCTCGGGAAGCTGAGGCGGCGGAGGCTTGGAGTAGGCGGAGAGGCGGGCGGAGGGCCTCGCGCCTCTGCCAGGCTTGCCGCGAGACCCGCCTCCACCGCGCCTTTCCTCGGCTCCCATTGGCTAGAGTTGCAGTGTAGCCGAAAACCTGGCGGTCGATTGGACTCTCGGGCCGTCACATCCCGCCACCTAGAGTTTGGTTGAGACTGCAGGTGGCGGCGGAGGTGCCTTAGAGACTGCTAGCAAGGCCGGGGATATCTAAGCGCCACCGTGCGGCCGAAAGTAGAAACTGCGTCTCCGGCGCCAGACACCTGCGGGCAGGTTCTTCTGGGCTCAGCTTCCTGCATCCCACACACCTGCTGGCGCCCCCCGACACTGCGCCACGCCAGACCCAACAGCCAAGCGCTACAATTTCCCAAACTCCTCTGGCAGGTGCGACAGTGAGCGAAGTCTCCAAACTGAGCTTCATTTTGAACCACCTCATATCCGGTCCCAGACTACATCATGCTGTAATGGTCAGAACTCAGAGGCGCTTCATAGAGAATCCAGCAAGAAAACTGTAAGAATCTTATCAAAATAAAGCGTGATTTAGGTGCTCAGTACTCTGCAGAGAAGATCACATGCTTGGGTACAGGCTTCCAAGAAAGCAAGAGGTTTATAAAGTAAATTACCAAGAAAGGAAAATCAACCCTGCAAACAGAATTGATGCCATAACCAAAAGCAATGGGCTTCGTTTTCAAATGCCTGTATAGAATTGACCCCTGAATGTGTTGCTAACCATCCTGTGATACTGAAGGTAACTGTGACCTCTGCTCCAGCTAATCGATTTTGAAATAAATTTCTTTGCATTTTTAGTATTGTTGCCAGACATAAGCATGCAAGACTACCAGCACATAAGCATAATGTCAGTCATCTTTTCTGCTTTAACAAGACCATCCTTCAAAATAAGACGTAACTTATTAACATATTAACAAAATTCTTCCTTTTTGGTGGAATCCCCTTCCCCTTGCTGCATTCCTCTGTAGTTTTTGTTTGGAAGAGCCTCAGAATCTATTTGGAGCTGAGAGGAGGAATAACTTTCTCTTAAGCTACTTCTGTTTTAGTGGAACATGCTTTTGTGCATCAATAATATAACAGCTTAGAGTTACACACACTAAAAGGCTTGGGACAAATCTCTTACTGATCTCCACAAATGGCAAAAATAAGAATACTAATTTTTCATAAAGTCAAATTTATTTGGTGTAAAGGGCTGTCCTTTATTCTGAGACAGCTCTTTTTACATACTTCCTTCAGTGAAATGATGGTAAATTGTAATGGAACCTTTAAAATGGCATTGACAAGGAAAAATAATTGAACATGTTGGCTCCCCAAATTAGTATTTTACATAATCCCAAAGTTATAGAACCACAGTCACCTAATTCCCAACCAGTAGTATCCACCCTTACTATTACCAAGCCAGAAAAAGGAAAGAACCCCAGAATAATTTGTCAGACCGGAGAAGATGGGGTAGGAGTCCTGGTGGGATCAACTTACTAAGATGACTAATTTTGAAAGTCATTTACTATGTTTCTCAAAACATGAATTAAAACTGTCTGGTTTTCACGGTTTTTCACAATTGGCCAATGCTTCTGTAACACAGTACTGTCAATAGAGCTGCAGCTATTCATTTCTTAAGCTTTCCCAAGAAGTACGTACCCTCAATTCTATCTCCAAATCATGTCCAAGTTCTAGTAATCCCTGCTTCTGTGCTTCTACCACATGAAATGCACGGCCCATCATTCTGGTACATGTTCCTCTTTTAATTCACAGTTCCTCTTTTAAGCCTTCCCAACTACTCCATCCTAATCAAACATTTCCTTCTCCAAATTTGTTGTACTTATATAAACTACACTGTGTCAGCAATTATATATTGCCTTGGATTACTCTTACTTCCTAATTACAATGAATTTAGGCAAATGGCATATAAGTGTGCTCTCAATAAACTGCAACTTTGGATCAGGGACTGGGTATTTTGAATGCTGTTTTTAATCCTGAGACCAACCCTGTATGATATTCTTAGACACAGAATAGATTAGAATCCAACTTGCTTGGGGGTCACACAGCTACAATAACCAATATTGTGTAAGATGTACTACTCTAGGATGCCTTAAAGGGGTTCAAGTTCTAGCTCTCCTGAGAGTTACCTATGATCTGTTTCCGCATCTGACTAACAAAGAGGTAATATAGTCATCGAGCCATTTTAAGGATGATACAAAATAAGGCATGTACAGTATTCAGCTAAGTGTGCTCAATACAGGTTAGATGTTCTTACTGCCTGGCAGACCTGGGGTTCTTTCCTAGATTGATCCCAAAACCTACATTCTTTCCACTGTTCCATAATGCCTGCACTCAGTCTTTAATAATGCATTTCCATTTACATAAAAAAGAGCAAACTGCCGAGAACAGTGGATCCCCAAGGACTGAGTGGAATATACTTACCTAGTATTTTTGTTGACACACATGCAAAAAAATAAATTCATAAACTTCATGCATTTTTGAATTAAGGAAACATTTGAATGATCCAAACCAGCATAAACTTACTATCACAAGGGTGAAAAAGGCACATATTCACCAAGTGATTAACAGGAAAACTAGTAAGATGGGAACAGGCTCCTTCCCCAAGCATCTACTGTGCGTGGTTTCATGCTAGGGGACTTTCCAAATGCTTCTGTTCGGTGTTTTACTACTGTATATTTCATCAGCATGACTTCACACTGTTTAATTACACAAGTGAAAGAGTTGTGACGATCTCATGAAGCAGGGTTCTGAGCAGTGGATCCAGCACAGAACAATGAATGTTGCCTTTAAAGAACTGGGACACTTAGAGTCAAATGCAGAACAGAAAAGTTTCACTTCTGTTTACTAGTCAAGCAACCAAGTAAAGGAATAAGCATTTTTTTAAACTGTGTTATATAAAATGCTAACTTCTTGTTGGGACATACTACAGATTGCATTAGATAAAATTTTTTGACAAACTTCCTATAATCTTTTTATTAATTTACACTGAGAGAATATAGCACCTTTCATCCAAAGAACTGAAGGTGCTTTACAAACATTGGCATTTAGAAAACAAATACATTTAAAAATCTGGATTTTTGCTGTTAAATCTCTTCCACCCCAGATATACAGTTTTTTGGAGGCTGATGGAAAGCAATTCTATTTCTGACAATGAAAGAGGCTCAGAGAGAGTTCGGATTTGCTTTCACAGTACAGGCATTTTCCAAAACCTGATGCTGGGCTTACAAAGCAAAAACACACAAATCTTAATGCGAAGAACAGTATTTCAAACCTTATTTCAAAAGCAAAACCCAGGGTTTAAGACATCAAAATTGTCCAACAGTTTTAGACATCCAGATGGAGTAGGAGATGATGCAGGCTGCATATTAGAGATGTGCTCTTGATCCAGGCTTTTTAAGAATAAACACATTTAAAATGGTGAGATTTTTCAGGAAAAAGCATTAACCGAGAAAAAGCTAGCCAAGAGCATATCAGAAAAATGAGGAAAGGGGAGTAATTGGCAATTAAAAGTAGACAGTTCTCACTAGAGCCTAGGACATTTTATTAGAAACCAAGTATATCATTGGCAAATAAAAATAGTTATTACCCCCATTAATATACAACATAGGGATTTTACATTCAGCCTAGACACAGGGAGTAACAGAGCCTCCTGCCTATAAATCTGTGACTTGCAAGTATTTTCCACCACATGATTACTCTAAATAGTACATAGCCCTTTTTATTAGAGGGATCCAAATATTCCTTTTAGGCTTACAAAGTCCAAAACATTCACTCTCTCTTCCCTTTACATGTCTAATAGTAAAAACTTTTTTTCATGCAAAAAGCCATTATTCAGTTGAAGAGAAAAAATCAGGCAAAACAGAGATGGCAGTTAAGGAATGGACAGAAATATTGGCACGTGCCCAACTAGTGACAAACAAATGCAGTACACCATGACTTAAAAATAAAAGTCACATTACACGGATAACTAAAACAACTACATCAATCTAAGCTAAGGAGTGTCAAATGGGAAGGAAGGGCTGAGGGTTACTGATTTTATTGGTACAACTTAAAAGCAGGTGAGAGCAAGCACTTAAATACAATTTATGGTAACAGAAAAAAAAAAAAAAATACTGCAGAGAGCTGTTCCAAGACCAAACCAAGTTGTCTGCATCATTAATTTCCAGTGTTTCACAATTAGTAAAATACATAGCTACATATCCCTGCAAGATAAAAAATACCTTTCCCCCTGAATTACGCTGGGGTCAGGGCAGTAACACAAAGCTACTGACCCAACAGTTCAAGTGTTTGCAGCAAATGTCTTAGTCACTTCTTTCTTGCAGCTATACAATTAAAAACTATACAAGGAGCTGTGTAGTTAAGGGGGTAAAAATTAAAACAGTATTGTGCTCATTTAATAAAGGAAAAGCCCTGATGAAAAATTATGTGCCAAGAAGCTTAGACTATAAAGATTTTTATTGCATTTTTAGGTAACCTGGAAGTTCTTATCCTGAATGGGAAAAAGTTGGTTTTCAAAACTACCTGAACAGATGCTAAAGTGCTTTATTAATTGGCTGGCTTCACAAAGATTTCCTGGAATGACAAAAAATTAATTATAGTAGTAAATGGATACCAACTATTTCACAAAATGGTTAATTCTAGCATCATTTATGACCAAAGTCATAAGAGACACTACTGGAACACTTGTCCTTATTAAGCGGACAGTTGCATATCAAGAACTGATCATCACAACCCTTTGGATATTCAAATTACTTACACAAAGCCAAAACATGGTATCACAGACCTTTACAAAAAGGACAATTTGGGTTTTTCTCTACACTTTAAAAAATCTGCTTCAGATTACAGTCCACAAATAGAAGAGTCCTGACTTTTCAACGTTTCCAGTTGCAGTTAAAAAATGAACACTTTCTAAAAGTTAAAGTCAAGTGTTACAGCAAGAGAAGAATGACTCCCATTGAAAAGTACATATATTTTACTCAATGATACTCATGATAGACTGTAAACTGGATTGATCACATTCTACTCAACTGGTATCAAATGAACACATCAGCATTACAAGTATTAAATGTTTTTCTATTACTAGAGAGGATATAAACCAAAACATTAATATGGCAGTCATTTATTTAGGCACAGTTTAGTGATTTTTTAAAAATAAATAGTACTGAATTTCAGTTGAAGTTTTAAACTTAATAGCCAAAGGGTCAAGAACTCTGATTAGGAAAAAAAAAGAATAACTTTAAGCTAACAACGTATGTTGTTTAAAATTTCTAACACTTTAACCTATCTGAGTTTTATTTAGGATTACTTTATTAAAAAATACAAGGAATCTGGAAAAAGATCAATACAATTATCTTAATGTACAAAGTCATAAGCTATAGCAGTTTTAAAACTAAAATTTAAAAACACAACAAAGGGCAGCCCTTTAGACCAATTTATTTTATATCCATTTAAAATATCATCCAACAAAGGACAATGAAGTTTACAGCTGGGACGGTATACATAACTCGAGTCATTTGCAGTCCATCGTGCCCACTGGATAACAACTTTGCTGCTGAAATTTCTTAAAACTTACCAAACTAAAACAAAAGACTGAATAATACAAAAGGAGGAGTATTTCAGTGTAGTCTGTTCTGTCAATTGGCTTTTTAAAAAAGGAAACACATTCTGTTTCCCTCAGACCGGTAAATAAGCAAGAGCTACATGCAGCAGTGTGAGTATTAAGACATTTCTCAAGTCTTCTCAAATGAGTCCAAGGCGGGGATGGGATGGGGGAGAAAACTGATAGAAAAACGTTGCTATAGACACCATAACAAACAATAAATTTAGATAATTTAAAATTAAAAAAAAAAGGCAAGAGGCAGCATTTCAGCAGCAAAGTGCTCAATAAAAAGTATATTGTAGAGGGTAATACACAAAAGTTGGGGTAAGAAGAGGGGAGAAAAATGGGTCAGCAGGATGGGGCGAAGGCCTCAAAGGAAATACGGCGTCGTCGTTCTGGGAGGAATAACACGTTCTGAATCTGGAACTGCCCGGAATAACTTTGGTTCTCTTGTATTTACATCTTTGAAGACCATGATTGAAGCAATATTTCCACAACGATAGCAGTAATTAGGAGCAGACCATACTGTTACCAGCTTCTCATCAAACATAAATTTATAGCCTTCATGCACTAATTGATGTGCTCTGCAGATGAGTTTTAGGTTGTTGATATGAACAAACTGCAATTTAGAAAGGTTCTGTTAAGTATTCAGCACATTTTTCAATAAATCAACCTACATATATAAGAAAATAAGCATTTAAATTAAGTATAAATCCTGTATCAACTAAAGCTCTCCTGATTATAGAACCCATTCTACTGTTATTCCCCATTAATTTCCCTAAGTCAGACACTTTGGCCTGAGTTATAGAAGTAATCACATAATTAGACACAAACTTCTGAAAGAAAAGCATTCTGTAAGTACAATCAGATATGAAGCAAAGTTTTTTATGGTTTAACAATAAATATATTACTATCAGTCTGCATCCCAGGTGGTGCTAGTGGCAAAGAATCTGCCTGCCAATGCAGGAGACACAAGAGACATGGGATCAGGAAGATGCTCTGGAGGAGGAAAATGGCACCCCACGCCAGTATTCTCGTCTGGGAAATCCCATGGACAGAGGAGCCTGGCAGGCTACAGTCCGTGGGGTCGCAAAGAGTAGGACATGACAGCATACAAACATATTACTATCAACACTGAGCATTTACTGAGGCTTCAGTGTGGCTCTTAAAACATTTGGAAAGAGATGTATTATCCTTCTCTTGCAACTGAAAGAAACAGAGGCTCAGACAAGATAAATGTAGCTCTCTGACTCCACTATGCGGGATTAGTTCACCCTGTGTATGTGTGTGTATTTTTAAATGAAAATAGCTGAACCTCAAAAAATCTGCCTATTCACAATAAACACACATATCAAATCATTATGTTGTATACATAACTAATACAATGTTATATGTCAATTATATCTTAATTAATATATATATACACTAAGAAATACATATTAAAAAGTTGGCTATCAAAAAAAAAAGTTGCCTATCTTGCCCTTGTTATCTCATTACTTGCACTGTTTGAAAGAAAAGGAAAATTTATTTTACACACAGTACTAGTGGATGCTAAAGGAGGTGCTTTTATTTCATTATCTCATTTAACCTTAAGGAAAGACATATAATAAACCAGACAAGAAATCTGATATCCACAGGCACCACAGTTTGAGTAAACTAGACTAGAAGTTTGGTATCTATAACAACCATAGTTCTTTACATATGCCATTAGCGACCAACAAACCACTTTTACAAAAATGTTGGCTTTACCTCATTTGTGACTTTTGCGCCAAAAAGCCAACCTGCTCCTCGAGGACTGATTGCCCAAGTATCCACATCTTCAGGATCTGACCAAACCAGATCACAAAATGCTCCTTTATGGGGAATTTCCTGATTCCGTTCAATGGTTCGAATTTGATCCAGTGTTTTGATATCAGGAGATAAACCACCATGAACACACAAAATCTGCTCATCTATTAACTAGCAAAAAAAGATAACAAAGAGTTGAATATATAACAATAAACTCAGTCATACCTAGATTCATCAATGAGTGCTAATGATATCAATATAATTGAGATGGCAATTAGATAAACATATGCAAAGTGTTACTGGCAGAAAAATACTTAAGCTTTTAAAAAGATTTACATAAAAAAAAATAAAATAAAAAGATTTACATAAACTTACAGCTGCTACTGTGAGCATGTCAAAAACTTTGGTACAGTATCTCCAGGCATTAGCATTTCCGTATTTGGTTTGGCACTCATCTATGAGAGAAACAGAGTTCTCATTAATGAAGCTCTGAATATGCTGATAAAAATAAAGAATACAAGGGAGTCCCTGGAGATCCAGTGGTTAGGACTCAGTGCTTTCACTGCCGTGGCCTGGGTTCAATCCCTGGTTGGGGAACTAAGATCCTGCAAGCTCTGAGGCACGGCCAAAAAATAAATAAATGAAATAAAATAAATAAAGGATATATCTAACACTAGGACAACAGAACTTATGCTTAAACTAGGATGGCAGGTTATGACACATATTTAGCCCTGGTAGATCCTCCATGTAGAGCCAGGAGACTAGTAGTTAACTGGTCTAGGAAAGTGGTCCTACTTTTCATTCCAAAAGTGGCCCTAAGAAGCAGCTGAAATTATTGGTCAAATGCTATAATCAAGAAGAGCTAAATATTAATTTCACATAACCCAGAGCAAACGTTTTTGTCTTATCATTAACACTGGGAGTAGTTCCCTGATGGTCTGGTGGTTGGGACTCCTTGTTTTCACTGCTAAGGGTGCAGTTTTGATCCCTGGTCAGAGAACTGGATCCTACAGGCCATGTGGCGTGGTCAAATAAATAAACAAACTTTAAAAAAATTCTGGGCAATTCCATCAAACACAGTAATGTATTTAATGTGACTACTTTATGCTAGCAGGATAACCAAACACATCAGAGGACCCTTAATCACAAGAACATGGGTAATCCCCTTTTCAACATTTCTCGGGCCTACATTGTCTCTCCTGAGATTTTCTGCAGATTGTGCAACTACACACGAGTTCTAGTAAGTACCCTGGTAGTTATCACTAGGTCTTATATATTCTCAGCTGAACATTCTCTCTGCTATCTACAACAGTTAATAAAGTGTATTAATCTCTTCTCTCAGTTAATACCAAGGAAGCCATGCTCTTTGGTTTCTTCTTTAATTTTGCAAAAAAAACACCTATCACTATTGTCCTAAGTACAGCTGAAAATGATACTGTGGGGTATGGTCAACCCTCATAATTTTCTAAATTGTATCTCTACGTGAGGCAGGATTCTTATGTAAACATCTCAGGAGACATCTCTAACACTGAGCACAGTTTACCAGTAGGAATCGACTTGTCAATTTTTCACCCTAACACATAAGCAAAGCACTTGGTTCATTAATAACTGCTAACTACAACCATGTTTATCAGGATGAACTGAAGGCCCAATATAATAGCTGTGTGTGGACATTTTTACTTTAAAATCAATACTAAGTTTCATGATGACTAAATCTATCTTCCTCCTGAGGAGCAGATGGGCTTCCTCTTACTAAACAAAACCATTTTACGAGCACCAGAGCATTGCTTGGGATCAAAAACATTCAGTACTGGATGTTGTGCTGCTATCATTTTCTTCAGTCAAGGCATCATAATTAAAATGTCCTCCTTCCTCTCCCCCTTTTATTCCTTTTGCCCTACAGTGGTAATGTTGGTCAATTTCTGGGGTATAAGTATATGCATAATACTAATCTTGGACAGCTGGAGTCAGCTGCTTTCACTGAGCTAACATCATATTATATGTTATCCAAAATACTGATTATTTTGTAAAAGCATCAATCAGTTTTATTCTAAATGGTATTTGGCATTTTGAGAATGTAAATAAGAAGTAACTTGTAGAAAGGAGATAAATAGTAGCCATCTAACTTTTCAATTTCTATTAACAAAGTTATATAAGCAACAAATTCCCAGGGAGTTCCCTGGTGGCCTAGTAGTTAGGATTCCAGGCTTTCCCTGCCGTGGCCTGCATTCAATCCCTGATTTGGGAACTAAGGTTCCCCAAGAAACAAAGGGTGACCATAAATAAATAAACAACAATAAATTGTCAAAATTTCTCAGTTTAATAACTGACAATGGCTGACAAAATGAGCAGTAAGAGAATTCAATTTATCTTTACAATGACAGAAGACAATTCAAAATATAAAGTCTAAAACTAAATGGTTATGAGATTAGTATTTTTAAATCTCTCAATATTTGCCTTGTGCTCAAAGAAAATGCATATTAATATCTCAAGAGTTCTATCTACCTCTTTCAAAGAGCTCCAAATTAAAAGCTTTCAATCATACAAAATTTTATAGAACTAGCTATTTTGCTTTTAATGACCTGAGTTCCAGTATTCTCTGGAGGAAGTACACAAACTTACAGTACATCCATACAGTGTATTACAGTGCAGCTACAAAAACAACATTAATCAAGTGAAAAAGCTGGTCACAATATTAAAAAACCAAGTATGATCACATTTTAGCTTGATGTGATGTATACATACACAGATATGTATACAAACACACACATACATATGTATATAGAATAGGCTCTTAAACTGAGTGTGCAAAACATTCCTTTTCAGCAGATTCTAAGGCCCCACCCCAAATGGTCTACAGTGACACCCAGCAGTCTACAATTTTAACTAGCAACCCAGATAATTCCAATGAGGTAAACTGAAGACTACATTTTGAGGCACTGATCTAGAAAGACATGCACCAAAAAGTTAAAAAGGGTTCTCTCAGACTACTATGTATAAAATAATAAGCTACAAGAATATACTGTAAACACAGGCGATATAGCTAATATTTTATAATAACTTTAAAAGGAGTATAATCTATAAAAATATTGAATCACTGTGATGCACATCTGAAAGTAACATTATAAATCAACTATATACTTTACTAAAAAAAGAAAAAATAGAATGGTTCTCTCTACGTAGTTAGATTTTCAACTGACTGAGGGGAAAAAAATGGAGTTAAAAATGAAAAGTGGAAAAAGATTATCTGTATTTTCTAGTTTTACTATTAAAAGCACATGTATGATGTATGTGGCATTTTTTTCCCCAAAGAGGAAGGTAAGACAATATTCAGAGTCAGAGAAATAGAAAATCTTACCATAAAATCCATACACCTGTGTTATCTGTCTACTCTCATGATTTCCTCGCAAAAGTGTAATACGATCAGGCCATTTAGCCTTTAGTGCAAGAAGGTAAGTGAAGGTCTCCAAACTATAGTAACCTCGGTCTACAAAATCACCCTGTAAAGTAAAAATTTACAGTTACAAACAATATAATAACAGCAGTATTTTTAAAAAATTATACCAAAGTGCACAAACTCAGAGACATGGTACAAAATAACAAAAATGAAGAGTCATACAAAATAACAAAAATGAAGAGTCACACACTGAATTATTTGGAAATTGGGTTTTAACAAAAAATTGAAATGGAAGTAAATAAGCTATTCCTACTAAATGTTTGTGCTAGTCTTATGCTGCGGGAGGCTTACAGCAAGCTGCTGTGCAGTTCTCTCAAGGACTTTCCCTATGAAACCACCATTTTTTCAATTCTCTATTACCTATATTAATAAACATTTGTAAAAAAAAAATGTGAATCAAAAAACTTTAAATGAATTTCAAAAATATTTTAACTGTATCAAAAGAGCTGTCAATTTGAAAATAGTTCTTTTTTTTAGAGCAAATATCTTAACAGTGTTCTAAACTCATCTTTGTATTTAACAACTGCATATGATGACATACTACCTACACTTCCCATTTATGTTTTACTTGGGCCAATATTAGACCATAGGAAAACAGCTCAAAGAATAAGAAAGTAACCCAGGAATTTTCAGAAGGAAGGAAAATAACAGGACTCAAAAAAAAAATTAAACAGTAACATTTTATTCCAAAAAGAAAACAAGTATCTACCTTAATAGCAAATGTGTAAATGTGTACATTCTTCAATCCAGATTAATAACAGATGAAAATGAATGCTCAAAAAAAAAGACAAAATAACAGTAAATTGAAGATTTATGCTTTAAACCTGAGGTTCCAAGCCACTGTTTTTTTGTTTTTACCTAACCAAAAACTACAAAAACTACAAAAAGGCTACAACCCAGTCCTACCTGCACAGCAGTTTACAGAAACAATTATTCTCAACTAAAGGACACAGCAAAATGTAGCAAAGTACTGAATCACCTTTTCACATATTTAAATAGTGATTGTCACATGGCAATGAAAGTATTACATAATCTACATGTAGTAAGACACATCTCCTCCATTTAAAATAAGTAGTTGAAAAAATACAAAATGAAATAAGTAGTTGATATCACTGGTGTTTACATACCATAAATATGTAGTTTGTGTCAGGAACCTGACCTCCAGTTCTGAATAGTTCACAAAGGTCATAAAACTATAAAAGAAAGGCAATATATGCTGATTACAAATTCCTGTGAAGGAGTAAAATAATGAAACTGAGGCCAAACTGTGTAAAGAAGCGGTGAATTAAGACTTCAAATATGTACATTCATAAAAAGAAATAAAGTGCAAACTAAACTACCAAGCACACAGCTTCCAAGCCTTAAAAAATAAAGCACTAAAATGAAGCTTTCAGTTATCACTAAAGTCATTCCTAGCTCATCAATGTCATGGCAAACTCCCTCAGATTTCTTTCATACATCTCCCTGTCTATCACTATAGAATTTGAAATCATGTATCAGTTACCTAACTGTCGATAAGCTAACCCAATCATTTGTCCCACATCCTGCATCTATTTTAAAGAGACAAAAGTTAAGGAAGCAAGTGGATAAGAATTTCTTTCAAAGAATGAGTTTACATGACACTTCATGGTGTCCTACAGAGCAGGTCAATCTACCTTCTTATACTCTGCTTTCAGAGATGTGCACCCTTAGGCTCTACAGCTGTGGAGAGTCTTCTCAACAATCAGTATATTAAAAAAAAAAGTATATTTCATCATACTCTATTTGCCTGAAAATTTAACTGGCAAAAATGTGTGCTTGATAAACTTCAGTCAACTAGATTATCCTAATCCTACTTCCTAAACAAAACACAGTTTTTCTGAAAAAGAATTTTGGATTAAAGGTATTGACTATACTATACCAACTACTATTCATAATTTCCTTCGTCTGTCGTTTACATTTGAAAGTAAAATTTACATAGTAGTATTACTTCTCACTTCCCACCTCACATATATGTATGCATGTGTATATCACATATGTATAAACAATCACACACAATATAAGCAGTAAAAAATAAGTATATGTATTTATACACACACTCGGTGTATGTGTATATGTAATACACACACACACGTGTATGTGTGTTACTTTAGCCTAGTAATTCCACTTCTGTGACTATATCCTTAAAGGGGGAAAAAAAAAGGTGTGTAACATAAAGAAAATGCATATAGCACCATTTCTAATAAGAGAAGAAACAAGCTTCATGACCAACATAGGGGAATATTAGTAAGACCCAGACCTCAGGCAGTCATAAATAATGATCATAATGGAAACTATGTAGCAAAGTGCAACAGAACACAAAACTACACCTATAACATAACTATACAATTTTACTATGTAAAATATTGAGTAGGTACACACAAGTCTGAAAAGAAACATTTAAAAGTTTTATAAAATAGCTGCTTCTTTAAAAGTATTGTAGAAGAGTGAGTGTCCTTAGACTTTACTCCAGATGTCTGCAGCAACATGTTCTTGAATAGAAGCTTTGTAAGTTTCCATTTAATTTATATATATTTAATGGATGACCAAAAATTCTGCTTCAGGGACCCACAGTTCCTACTCCATACTGAAAGTTTTTTTCCAAAATTCTTTAATATAATAAAGAGTTACTAAAGTGAGTCAGAAAGAGAAATATAAATATTGTATTCTAACACATATATATGGAATCTGGAAAACTGGTACTGAAGAATTTACTTAAACAGGGCAGAAATGGAGAAATAGACATAGAGAACAGACTTGTGGACTTGGGGAGAGGGGAGGAGAGGGGGAGATGTATGGAAAGAGTAACATGGAAACTTACATTACCAAATGTAAAACAGATAGCCAACGGGAATCGGCTGTACAGCTAAGAAACTCAAACAGGGGCTCTGTATCAACCTAAGGGGAGGATGGGGAGAGAGATGGGAGGGATGTTCAAAAGGGAGGGGTAGGTGTATATCTATGGCTGATTCAGGCTGAGGTTTGACAGAAAACAACAAAATTCTGTAAAGCAATTATCCTTCAATAAAAAAATAAATTAAATATATATATATAATAAAGAGTTACTAAAAACATATGGAGACAAATAACTGTCATACATTACTGGGAGCCCACCTCAGTATTTCACAAATTATTTCTACCATCTATTGTATGTTTTTCATATCACACACTCTGTAAGTTTTCTTATTTTAAAACAAAACGAATCCTGAGATGTGGATTTTACCCCATTATTAGAGCCAAGGAAACAGTTGGCCAACTCAGTAGTTTTTAATTTTTTTGGTTTTAGGGCCCAAGCATAGTCTTAAAAATTACAGGTCCTCAAAGGCTTTTGTTTTTACACTATATGAGTCAGTATTAACCATATCAGAATTTTAAAGTGATCATCGCTAATGTTTAAACCTCAGATAGCAGATGACACCACCTTTATGGCAGAAAGCGAAAAAGAACTAAAGAGCCTCTTGATGAAAGTGAAGAGGAGAGTGAAAAATTTGGCTTAAAACTCAACATTCAGAAAACTAAAATCATAGCATCCAGTCCCATCACTTCATGGCAAATAGATGGGGAAACTGGAAACAGTGGCTGACTTTATTTTTCTGGGCTCCAAAATCACTGCATATTATGATTGCAGCCATGAAATTAAAAGATGCTTACTCCTGGGAAGGAAAGTCAGGACCAACCTAGACAGCATATTAAAAAGCAGACACATTACACTGCCAGCAAAGGTCCATCTAGTCAAAGTTATGGTTTTTCCAGTAGTCACGTATGGATGTGAGAGTTGGACTATAAAGAAAGCTGAGCACCGAAGAATTGATGCGTTTGAACTGTGGTGTTGGAGAAGACTTTTGAGAGTCCCTTAGACTGCAAGGAGATCCAACCAGTCCATCCTAAAGGAGAGCAGTCCTGAGTTTCCATTAGAAGGACTGATGTTGAAGCTGAAACTCCAACACTTTGGCCACCTGATGCAAAGAGCTGACTCATTTGAAAAGACCCTGATGCTGGGAAAGATTGAGGGCGGGAGGAGAAGGGGACGACAGAGGATGAGATGGTTGGATGGCATCACCGACTCAATGGACATGAGTTTGAGTAAACTCTGGGAGTTGGTGATGGACAAGGGAGGCCTGGCGTGCTGCAGTCCATGGGGTCAAAAAGAGTCAGACACGACTAAGCGACTGAACTGAACTGAACTGAACTGAAATTCATTTTAAAAGTCAGGGAGGGATGAATTAGGAGTTTGGGATTAACATACATACTACTTTAAATGAAATAAACAGTAAGGACATACTGTACAGCACAGAGAACTCTACTCAATATTCTGTAATAACCTATATGGAAAAAGAACACATATATGTATAACTGAATCACTTTGCTGTACACCTGAAACTAACATAACATTGTAAATCAACAATACCCCAAAATAAAAAATTAAATTTAAAAAAATCAATAACTAAGTAATAATATACATATATTTTTAATAAAAAATAAACTGCTTTCCAAAGTAAAACAAAACAAATTTATGAGAAGACTGGCACTGTTTTGCATTTTTGCAAATCTCTTTAATGCCTGGCAAAAAAGAGCACAGCTTGGGTTCTCATAGCCTACCTCTACATCCAATCTGAATATTCAGTCCTGAATGTTCATTGGAAGGACTGACACTGAAGCTGACACTCCAATACTTTGGCTACCTGATGCGAAGAACTGACTCATTTGAAAAGACCCTGATGCTGGAAAAAACTGAAGGCGGGAGAAGAGGATGACAGAGGATGAAATGGTTGGATGGCATCACCGACTCAATGGACATGAGTTTGAGTAAACTCCGGGAGTTGGTGATAGACAGGGAGGTCTCGTGTGCTGCAGTCCATGGGGCTGCAAAGAGTCAGACACGACTGAGCGACTGAACTGAACTGAACAGCCAATCTGTTGGGATATGCTGTTTAAAGTATACAAAGAAAATCCAGCTTCATACAGGTATGTGTTACAAAAGGGAGAAGAATTTTAATAACCTTTAGAGATAATGGTGTATATTTTTCTTCTAATACATCAAAACTGGACAACTGGTCTCTTCTCAAACTGTGTTAGATAGGTTGGTCTAACACTTTGAGTGGGTAATACACTCTGGTTATTTGAAAATGAAAAATAGTATTTCCTTATAATCATTAAAAAAAATATTTGTTAATATTATCACTCATCTCATCAGGAAAGTCTTTTAGGTACCAGAAGCTAGGAGCTTCATGGTGGTGAATTCAAATTTTCTAAAAGTCCAATTATTTTCTTGAAAACTCAAATTCTGGCATCAGCAACAAATACTGTCAATTGCTCCTCTTAAAGTAACTGGCTCACTTCACTTGCTTTTGCAAAATAGTTGCCAAATACTCACAGTTTGTCATTCATTCTCTCAAGTAAAAATAGCATTCCATTAAAAAGAAAAAAAAAGCGGCTATTTCAGATGGAGATACAAAACTGCAAAAGCAATCTTCTTTTGAGAAAACCATTTTTCTTTGACATGCAGTAGATGTGCTTTATGCATACTTCCTATTTCATCACAGGGGCTGTTCAAAAGATATAGCTACTCAATGATTAAGAGCTACTATTAATTAATATTACTAGTTTATCAAGGACATCCTTAAACAATACTGGCATTTTATTTTACTGTAAATGCACGCACGCTGGTGAAGAATACAAGGACAACCAGCATAGGCTTGGTGACACGCCCCTGATCAGGGAGGCACCAGCAGTTTTACCTTCAGTTGATTCTCTGCCATCTTACAGACCCTCAAAGGTCCACATATCTAAAGAACTGAAGAGCTAGCTGAAGTGGCTGCTTAAACAGCTATTATGTACCCAGGCAGGACTTAAACCAAGCTCTGTCTGACACTGAACTCTACAACCTCCTCACTAGATTATACTGTTGCAATGCTTCCTGGCATTATATGCGTGCCAGCACTTTCTATCAGCTTATTTATAGTCATAGTCCAATCCTGCAATTCCAGAACTGGCCCAAGGGGAAGACAACTGTACAAGTCCCAAAAGACACATCTTATATTTGACTTCAGTCTACAGACATTTAGAGGCTTCTCAAGTCCTATGCTTTCGATGAGTAATTGTTTTAAAGGGTCAAGTACAAGAGAAACACTGTTCAGTTTGGTGGCAGTCTTAACATGGACTGGGAGTTCCCTGGTGGCCTAGTGGTTAGGATTCTGAGCCTTCACTGATGGGGCCCAGGTTCAAATACTGGTCAGGGAAGTGACAGCAGGTGGGTGAGCAAACTGCAGGCAAAAATAATAATAATAGTAATATGGGCTACTGGGCACCTATATGAGTTTCAAATCTCAGCTCTGTCCCTTAGTAACTATGTGAATTTAGGCTAATTCCTCAATTTTTCAGTCTCAGTCCTTCTCCACAAAATGATCCAATCTCATGGAACCCTTAAAAAAAGAAAAAACTTAAAAAAAAAAAAAAAGAAAAGAAAAAACTGACATGGAATTTATGAGAAAGCACTTTATTAATCTCAAAACACAAGATAAATGAAAGCAAGAGTTGTGCATTTGACGGAAGTGTAAATTTATTAATTTTAGTAGTATGAAGTTGTCTCTAACTTCCTGACCTTTGATCATAACTGTAATTCATGTACTGAAAAGTCCTTGGGGAATTTCCTGGTGGTCCAGTGGTTAGGACTCTGCACTTTCACAGCTGATTGAATCTGAGGGCACAGATTTAATCCCTGGACTGGAACTAAGATCCCACGACCTACACAGTGCAGCCAAACACAGGTAACCCTCCGATTTTAATATCATAATCAAAGGAAAACACTGCTTGGTTTGTTCCAACTTCTACAAATATGTTAAAGGCACTTCCTATGTTAATGTCCTTTATGTCAGCAAAATAGAAATGTTTATTATACTTTGCGAGAGAAGTTAACATGGAAACCAAGAAATACACTCCTAATGGTTTACTTTAGAGAATGAGAATTTTAGCAGATCAAATATGACATAATGGGGTTTCTATTTAGAAGCTGAAAACATGCAGATGTCATTTACTATAACATCAAACATCCAGAGAACAGACTGAAAAACCCAACTCAATCACAAATAATCTATACACCTTTCTGCTCCTTTAGGCAGTCATAGTTAAGGTCATGTTGGCATTCATAAATCCAATGTTGTTCACAACATATTATTATTATAATTATATATTATATTATGTCACAATATAGTATATTAGCCCCAACTCCACTGCATGCATGGAGCAGGCTATGAGTGTTTTGTTCAGCTTTCACTACCCAGGAAAAAAGAAAAAAAACTCCACAAATACACAGTTTCCTAATCAGGCTAAACACTGACAGTAAGAGTCTAAAAATGAGGTGTACCCCTCCTGTCAATGCTCTGAAACTCTTAAGAACAAACAAAATCCCAGCAGATGAAACGGTGAACTTTCTTTCTCATTTCATTCTAGCACAGAATTGCTGTGAAATCATGCACCAATAGTTTTTCTGAACAGTTATTCTCATTCCCACTAAGGAAATAATGAATTTTCAATAAAACAAGACATTAAGTGAACAGAATGAATACAACAGCAATGCGTAGAATGAATAGAAAATTAGGCCCAAAACCAAAGCATCTCCTATCAACCATAATAGCTATCAGCAGTCAGTCTGTAGTTATTTCCTATCTCCTCCTGTCCACAGAACAATAATGCTTCACTCAGGTCACTTCCTAAGTGTGATTTCAACAAAGTCCATGAATAATTTGACTACTGCTTTTATTCAGTTTAAGAGTAACCAGGAATCATTAGTATCACACAGACTGAGGCATCCTAACCAACCACTAGCTGCTCCTTTTTTTTTTTTTGTAAGTATTTTACAGCACAAGTGGAAACACACATGGACTATGGACAGACAGTACAAAAGCTAAAACTCTCCTCATGAAATTTTACCTGTCCATGTATGTCTCCACACACTGTTACTGGTGTTGATACTGGCTGGACATTTGACTCTTCCAACAGGAGATCACAAACGTAGTCACATAGCCGCTGGAAGACAAGAAAATAAAATGCAACCTTTTATTACAACATTAAAGCTGAAGACCAAGTGCAAAAATGACAAGAACTAACACATGTAATAACTCAAAATTAAGATCATGGCATCTGGTCCATCACTTCATGGCAAATAGATGGGGAAACAATGGAAACAGTGAGAGACTTTATTTTCCTGGGCTCCAAAATCACTGCAGATGGTGACTGCAGCCATGAAATTAAAAGACGCTTGCTCCTTGGAAGAAAAGCTATGACAACCCTAGACAGCGTATTAAAAAGCAGAGACATTACTCTGCTGACAAAGGTCCGTATAGTCAAAGCTATGGTTTTTCCAGTAGTCATGTATGGATGTGAGAGTTGGATCATAAAAAAGCTGAGCAGCAAAGAACTGATGCTTTTGAACTCTTTTGTGGAACAAGATTCTTGGGAGTTCCTTGGACTGCAAGGAGATCAAACCAGCCAATCCTAAAGAAAATCAATCCTGAATATTCACTGGAGGGACTGATACTGAAGCTGAAGTTCCAACACTTTGGCCACCTGATGTAAAGGACTGACTTATTTTAGAAAAGTCCCTGATGCTGGGAAAGACTGAAGGCAGGAGAAGGGGACAACAGAGGACAAAATGGTTGGATGGCATCACCAACTCAATGGACATGAGTTTGAGCAAGTTCCAGGAGATGGTGAAGGACAGGGAAGCCTGGCGTACTGTAGTCTATGGGATCACAAAGAATCAGACACGACTGAACAACTGAACAAAATGTATGTATTATTTCACAGAAAAGCAAACTACTCTATGATGACTCTGGGATTTGATCTGTCAGCTTTCACCTTCCTCTCATAATGCCTATTCCAAAATGCAAACTCCCTGGCTACACAGGTTCAGTTCAGTTCAGTTCAATTGCTCAGCTACACAGGTAACAGGTTCTAGAAGACAGACAGCTTTGCAAGGAACTGTCAACTGATGTTTTTCACACACACACACAAAAAGTAAAAGTCAACCATTTTAAAAGGAAAAGGTCTTTATCTGCTAATTTTTTTAAGTAAATTACAAACCATGCACTTAGCAAATATGATCCAGCAACTGCACTCTTGGCAATGAAAATTTATGATCACATAAAAAACTGTACACAGAAGTCCACAGAAGTTTAACTCATGACAGCCAAAAACTGGAAATAAATCAGATGTCCTTCAACAGTGACTAGTTAAGTTATAGAACATTCACACCATGGAATACTATTCAGAAATAGAAGGAAACAAACTATTGACACATGACAATCTGGATAAATTTCAAGGGAATTATGCTCAGTTGCGGGGGGGGGGGGGGGGGGGGGGACCCTACCCCACAATGTTACATACTATATGACTCCATTTATATAACATTCTTGAAATTAAAAACTTTACAGAAATAGAGACCAAACTGGTTGACTGCCAAAGGTCTAGGAGTTAGGAGCAACAGGAGGGAAATAGGTACGGTTATAAAAAGGACAACATGTGGACTCCTTGGGGTGATGGAACTGTGTCTTAAATGTGGTATTGGATACATGAGAAAATAGATATAATAAGACTGCAAAGAACTAAATACACAAGTACAAGTAAAACTGGAGAACAAGATCCTGGGGTGTATCAATGTCAGTATCTTGGTTGTGATATCTGTTCTACAAGATGTTACCACCAGGGAAAACTGGATAAAGGGAGACTTCCCTGGTGGTCCAAGGGCTGGGACTCTGAGCTCCCAATGCACGGTGCAGGTGCCCGGGTTCAATCCCTGGTCAGGGAACTGGATCCCACATGCTGCAACTAAGAGTTCACATGCCACAACTAAAAACCGCAAAGCCAAATATATAAATAATTTTAAAAAAAAAACTGGAAACAGGGTACAAGGGATCTTTTGGTATTATTTCTGAAAAATGCATATAAATCTATGATTATTTCAAAATAAAAAGTTTAACTAAAATTAACTATAAAATGTAAATCTAAAATTAAAGAATCACTCTACCTTTCAAAAAGAGCTCTAAATGTTTGCATTTTAAAAATATTTGTCCTCTGAAAGAACTCAAACCAAAAGATTTCACAGAAGGAAAACAATTCTCACACTAGTTCTCTGGAGAAGGAAGGGTACAGTCTGCTGTGTAAAGAGAACTGGAGGGGAAACCTCCTTCCATCTGAGAAGTTATACTAGTCAGAGGCTGTACTAAAATTAAAATCTCATAAAATTAGATTTTAAGAAGGTCAGCCAAGAAAGGACAAATTAAACCACACAAGCATAATGAAATGATTCTAAACATTAATTATGGAATCTAAATGCCAAAACTTACTTAAATATAGCAGAGACACACTTTAACAGTTATAGACACAATACTTTATACACAGGTAAGCACCAGAGAGCAGCCACAATGGAAGGAGGGAGGAGGAGTAAGAAAAGAGGCCACCCAAAAGAAAATGAGGGGAAACCAAGCTGTTTAGAAATGTTCAAAATAAAGAGTCATTCTTATTCCTAGGATAAGTTCTGACCTTCAAATAGCACCTCAAAGGTATCAAACAGGGGTCTCCTGCATTGCAGGCAGACTCTTTACCAACTGAGCTATCAGAGAAGCCCAACTGACAAAAGATCTTCCAGAGTGGCTCCTCAAGTCTGCATCCCCATCAACAACTAGTGACAGCTTCTGCTTTTGCCAGTGCGGTCAGTGTCTCAAGTGTGAAGGAGTATGACCCTGTTATTTTAATTTGCATTTCCCTAATGACATACAATATTGAGCTATTGAGCACCTTACCATATGCTTATCTGTCTTCTATATGTTTTCTTTGGTGAGGTACCTGTTCAGGTCTTTGGCCCATTTTTAATAACGTTTAATAGGGTTGTTTGTTTTCGTACTGCTGAATTTATCAGATAAATCTTTCACAAATATATTCTCCCAGTCCGTGGTTCACCTTCTCATTCTCTTGACAGTGTCTTTTGCAAATCAAAGTTTTAATTTTAGAAAGCCCAGTGCTTCTCAATTATGTTTTTGTAAGTAGAATGTTTTGATTTGTCTGGGTTTGGTTTGAGTGATGAGGAACCAGAAATCTGAGGGGTCTTTTTAACAACTTCACTGAGATATAAATCACATATCATAAAGTTTGCCCCTTTACTGTGTAAAATTCAATGGTTTTTAGCATATTTGCTGGTGAGCAACCATCATCATAATCAATTTTAAACATTTTGATCACCCCAAAAAGATCACTAATGTACTCATTAGCATGCGTCTCCCAATTCCCATAACCTCACCCCACAGTCATAGACAATAATTCATCTGCCGTGTCTTAGAATTTGTTCATTCTGAACATCTGGAAATGGGGCCTTTTGTGACTGGCTTCTTTCACTTGATATATGTTTTTAAAGTTCAGCCACATTGTAACATGCATTATTTATTTGTTCTTTTTTAATAGCTGAATAATATTCCGTTGTATGTGTTTATCACATTTTGCTTATCTATCCATCAGTTGCTGGACATGTGGGTTATTGCCACTATTTGGCTATAAGAGCTTGATTTTGACACAAAATCAAGCCCATCAGACTTCAAGGTGCCTGAGACATGCTTTAAACAGCTGATCAAATGAGTCCTGTTTTCAAGAAAAAGTATCCAAACTAGAGAGACCAGTCTGGAGACTGTCAAAAAATATACAGTTCAAATCACGAGACTAGAAGAGACAACATGGTTGCTTATAAACAGAGAAAAGGGTAAGTTCAAAAATACATGAGTCCTAATACCTTCCACGGAAGTTGGGGGGCAGGGGAGGGGGAACCAGCAAAAGAGACTGCTTGATGAAGTACAAAGGAAACCATGCGAGTGTGGTATCATGGAATTCCTATGAGGAAAACGTTTCCAAAGAGGAGTGACCAACCATGCTCAGCGCTGATGGAAGGTCAAATTTTGGAGAAACAGAGTAGGGCCGAGAGGGAAAACTCCTTTACTCCTAAATCAACAAGTACCAATCGGAGAACATCATACACAAGTAATACCATGGCACAGTTCAGAGGTTAAGAGCACAGTCTTTGAAGTCAAAGAGATCACAGAACAAATATCAGCTCTACTCTTTTTACTTATTACTTGGTTTACTGTCTGTTACTTAGCTGCGTAACCCTGCTACGTTACTTCATCTCTCCGTGCCTCAGTTTCCTCATCCACAACAGAAATACCAACCTGGGGATATTCTAAGGATTAAATAAGGCAGTGCATGCAAAAAACGCTATGGAGCTTTACATACAGAGAGTCATATACAAAATCCAAGACATAAAAGCATACTCTGAATTATAATGTGTGAGTTAGAAGAATATGTATCAAACCCAAAACAGCAGTTGCTGGAGATGTCAAACAAAAGGAATTCCACCTTCATCTTTATTTATTTCATTTTTTTAAAAAGCCCGAAAGGGTCTTTCCTGGTGGTCCAGTGGCTAAGACTCTGTGCTCCTAATGTGGTGGACCCAGGTTTGATCCCTGGTCAGAGAACTAGATCCCACATGCCGCAACTAGGAGTCTGCATGCCACAACTAAAGAAGACCCAGCGTGCTGCAACTAAGACCTGGCACAGCTAAATAAATAAAATAAATATTTTTTTAAAAAGGATAAAAAAATTTTAAAAGCGTGAAAAAATTTTATTCTTGGTGGAAGGAAACAGGTATATTGTAGGTTATTCTTCATATTTTCCTGTGGATTCTGCATTTCTTTTGCAAAAAACTTAATGTTATTTTGAAACTAGAAAACAGCCTTAATTGAAAAACTGCAGAACAACATATATGCTACCTCTTTTATTAAAGCAAAATATATATAGTATACACACACATAAAAACACACACTTGCTTATATTTACTTGCCATACCTAAACTGTTGTTTCTGAAAGGATCCATAAGAATCCTAATACTGGCTATCCAATATAAGGAAGGGAACTGGGTGACTGGGTGGTAGGAGGCAAGAATGGGAGGAAGATGTAACTTTTACACAGTCTTTTACACTGTTTAA